CTGTTAGCAAAAAATCGGTTGTTATGAAATGCTATGAAATTGGGCCATTCAAAACCAATGTTGAGTTTAATTATTGATGCTGTTGTTAAGTCCTTCACAAGTTGTTTTGCTTATTTTTAGAAGAAGTGTTACCACTTATACACGAACACTTAACCACATCGCGCTGCGGGCATTTATGAATAGTGATACTGCTTGGACAGGATCTTTTTCATTTTTTCTGTTCTCAAAATTCTTTAAAAATTCCTGGGTTGGTTTATACCCACACGAAGGACTGTCTGGTTCTACTCTAATGTGACAGACAACATCATTGACATTGGAGTATTTCAGCCAGGCCTGCCCCTTGTAAAAAGAGCCCAGACTGTGCAGTGATACATAATTTTCTTTTGTTCAGGAAACTGGCACAGTGTGCTACTGATCAACCTCTTTTCAATTGGGGCCAGATTAGCATGCAGCGTTACTATGTGGCTCATCGCTGCGGTGGTGGAGCAATTTTGTCCCCGGTGGTAATCCGCTCGCGCTAAATGCCCCAAACAGTGGTATGCTGTTTCAAAAAAATGCTGAATTTTCTCCACTTCTGACAGTGAAAAAATGTCGGTACAGCAAACTCCAACTAAGCCAGCGTTCTCGGAACTCAAGAATTATGACGACTTACACAAATGCCAACTTGTGTTGTACGTGTAAGTCATCATTTTGCCAACTTACACGTACACATGTATTGCCTACAGTATGTACATTATAATTCCTTGCACTAATTCAATGGCTTTGATTTACCCTGGTCTACCCTGGCTCCATGGTCGATCCCAGCAAATTTGTTCTTTGTCCTAACGGGCTGCAAATTTGATATTTAATTATGTGCCCCTAATGACGAAGCAAAGATGGCAAGCCACTTGCATATCACATTACGATTCTACAGTGCAGTACGTACATGTATGTGATACAGTTACTGTATACAGAAAACACACTCTCAATCACACTCATGCATTGGTTAAGTTCACTCAATATAGTCTGGATACCAGACCCAATGATTCTGACTACCCAACGAATCATTATCAAGGGTTGTCTGGGAATATTTGGGCAGGGAAACAGATTACATTTAATAAAGCGACCCTCAAAATGGACAGAGCTCATGCATGTAGCACTAGAGGGGTTACTGGTATTGATGTATTCATGCTGGCCGCGCACGCATGGGACTCGCCCTTGACACTCTTTGGCAACCGTGGTGAAGGAAACCAATACCAAAGCACCATTTTTTTCTAATGCCGACTTAAACAAAGCAAACGTGCCGACTTATACAAAATGACGACTTATAAATGCCGACTTAGAAATGAAATTTTCAATGGAAATGCATCACAGGCGATCAAGACTTTGTCAAATGGCTGACTTGGATGATATAACGAGTTACGCAATGGCGACTTAGTCGGAGTTCACTGTAATTCCCAGCAGCCTGGTCTTTTGTTACGAGTATGGTTTTGTTACAAGGCCGAGTTCCCTTAGTTTGATTTTGGAGACCCCGGCTATACATATAAAGAATATGTGCCCGAAACCGGGCTCCCCGGCGGCAGGTGGTTAACTTTAACCCAGGAATGTTTACAATATACAATTCATGTGACTTCTTATTGAGACTTGGGGAGTCAGGTTGATATAGTCGTTCTTTCCTTCCCTTCCATCTATGCGGTCTGGGTTTGAATCCCGGCTCGGTCTACATGTGGATTGGATTTTCACTCCCCACCTGATTCTACGGGTTTTACCCAGAATACTCCTCTGGGGTGTCTTCCCACCTCTAAAACTGTAACTGCTTCTCATTGTATCCTCTCGACACATTTCTTCAGGCTTAAAAGCTACCAGTACAGTGTGCCTAGGGAGCTTTTGAAGAATCCTTGGTGTCATTATCAGAAATAAATAATACTAATAATAACTGCAGGTGAGAACTTTGGGAAAATTTTTGACAACCTGTAAAGCACTCAACTGTGAAGTTTGATTTTTGTCAACATGAACCATATACAGTAAACCATATACAGTATAAGAGAAAACATGATGTCAGTGAATTTTCAACCTAATGGCAATTTGGTTTGATATGTTGCATGTGCTTCACCCTAACATGGCTAAATTATCCCACTTCAATGTGATTTACAAGTTATCACCAGGCCTTCATTTTCAAAGATTGGGCCAGACCACAGAAGGGCCATACAGTAGCTTTCTTTTACTCTTTAGCATATGGCCTTGATGTTTATGCCAAATGAAATGTTGCACAATACTTTCAATCAATTCCTGGTTGTAATGACACTTCCAGAAATAATGAGTGTGTCTTTAACACTCGGACTATTTCTTGTGGTCCATATGTCACAATGCAATGGGACAGGTGTAAGGTGGGCACATTTCAGGTTCCTATAAAATGCTGTTTGCACCACCGATTAACAGATCAATCAACCTTTTTTAGCCTCCATCCTAGATTTCATTACATACTTTCAGCTCCAGTGTAACTGATATTCTAAGTTAAATGTGAGCTTGCGATTAAAGACACATTACACCCAAATTAAGTGGCTAGTGGGCCTAGTAGACATGCATCTAACTCAACATATACCTGTATTGCTGTCACTTACCAATCATCCAGTATGTGATTGCACAGAATATGCATGTTGGAATGATTCTCATTGGGAGAAGATCACAGAAGACTTTGGCAAAGAAGTAAGCAGAACACCTGTAGAATCCACTGGCAGACTCGTGACTAGAACAAACAAAACCAGTTAACAGTTTCAATGAGAAGGGGATGGGATATTCAAAAAGATACAGGGGAAAGGGAGGGAGCAGAACTTACTCAGGCCACTATTCATGATAAAAGATTATCCCTATGTGAATTGAAGTCTGGAGAATACTCTTTTGACTTTCATATTTGCTACACACCTTATTGATTTATTAATTTTAATTATAAATGTTTTTATAGGCCAAACCTAGTGTAAGGAACAAGTTTGTGTTTGTATATGTCCAGGGGATGGCAAGCCCCTCTTACTATTATCATGTTAATTACCATGAATTACATGGACAGAGAGTACAGATCTGATTGGTTAAATCATTTCAGATTAATGACAGAATATCTTTTTTTTTTTTCAAAGTTACTAAATAGGGTGTGGAAAACAATACATGTACATGTGTACATCCAAATTGGTCATGGGACTTTTCAAGGGTTTTACTGTCATGAACTGAGAAGAAAAGAATTGAGTCTGTTCGGTTTCCTGCAAGTAGAAAGCTATGAGAGGCCGATTCTTACCCAGCTACAGGCACTGAGTATTATGTACGTTGTGATTCTTTCAACAGCACCAAAACCAAGGTTGAGCAACTGAGAGCCTGTTTGACGTTGTCAATCTTGAGAGATTGGCACAGGAACCAAGATTGTCAGAGACCTGGTTCCTCCATGAGAGACAAGTAAAGGGGAGTTGGACAGGCTAAATCTGTCAGCAAACTCACATGTGAGTTACTACCCCTCTGGTAAGAATGCTGTGGACTCGTGAGAAACATCATCTCTGCCATAGAAGACAGGCTGCACGGTGGACCTTAACACCGACAGTTTCTTTGAATTATACCCACTAAACACTAGTACTGACAACCTTTATTGCTAACAATTGAGTGAATAAGTCAAACCCAAGGTTTTGAACAAATCACTGGGAGAACAAACATTTGAAAAAGGTGTTTATTTCTGCCTGTTAAGAATGATCTGTGAAAATGTAAATAAAATGTATCTCACTTTGTAAATACAGCTATTATGCATATTAATGTAAATAAATGTATTTAACTTTGTATGTACTAAAGGAAAGTTGTGTAATTGGAAACCTATTTTGTTGCACTGTATACCAGACTAATGAAGGTCTAATTTCTTGCAAAGGGAAAACTTTGGAATGTGAGAAAGATATACACCTTCATTTTACTTGCATGCAAATATAATGTGCCCTCGTCTTACAAAAGCATGCTACTTTTTAAGTTTTTGTGCTGTTTGTTCTGTTTTTGTTCCTATTTTGTTCATTTTTTGGCTGTTGAAAAAGTATGCTTTGCACCACTGAATTATGGGGGGTGATCAAATGGCCCATCCCATGATCCAAATGTGAGTGGGGTTTCAGAAACCCTTCACCTAGGAGTTGTATCAAATACCAGTGTATGCTGTTTAACAGTGTGTGCCAGTAACTAATGGTGCTTAAGTGCACTGTAAGGGATGACTTTTTAACTGCATCATATTATGCAATGATTGAACTTTGCTATCTAAACTTACATAAAGATAACCCTCTCTTTGATGAAAAGCTCCACGGCACTGAGGTTGCTGAAGACCATGTTCATGATGAGAAAGAAGAAAGCACCAACTCTGACAGAAAAACAAACAACAAAACACAACTTTGATATCTTTCTACGACTGTTTAATGTTTGAAACCAAAAATGGAAAAGATCAAACAGGCATGCTATTATGAGGCTGTATTCACATCTTGTGTCTACATGTAGAACAAGGCTCAAGCCTAAGTTAACAGTTGTAAACACATGAGCAAATGCTAACAGAAGAAAAAGCTGTAGCTATGGTTGTCTGCTCCAGACACAGTCTTGTTGTGACTAGTGTTGAATTTCCTACTTGGAAAAAACTTGTGGACTGTGAGTTAAGCCTGTTCTTTCTTTCTCCTCCAAAATTTGTTGTTTGGTGTCCAAATTGTTAGAGCAACTGCAATTTCAGAATTTCTTTCTGAATGCATACCTGTTCTGAAGACCTGAGGTGGAGAGATCAAGCTGGAAGTACAAACCCCCAACCACAAGGCCAAATATAATCATGAAGATGAACTGTAAGAGGTTGGTTAACAGAGATAAAGAAGTACAACAATAAAATAATGCAAACTCAATAATGAAACACCACACTGGTTTGTTATTATGAGCACCAAGTACTGTATGCACTAGACAAGTCTTTGGATCTCAGGCGTGAACTGAATAGCGCCCACAAGGATAATTCCGCAAAGTTTTTACAGACAAATAATTAGTTTCTGTTCACTTTATTTTCTGAGGCATTTCTGCTTCCGCTTATTACTGCCACAAACTCCATATTGGCTTATTTACTCGTTGCATTTCTTCCAAGAACATCCCTCCAAATCCTGCAAAATCCAACACTCCAGAGAAACTTTCTAGAATATTTGCATTTAAGCTTTTATGAGGCAAATCCAGCTATTTGTTAAAAAAAACATTGGCTGGGCTCTGCCACACTAAACCCCTTAAATTCCCCCATAACCCCCAGGAGATTTTGAAGAATCAAAGATGGGTCACTTCCAATTTTTAAATGACAACAGAGAGCAGCTTACATCAATGTATACTTCAAGGTTCATATGGCTGCAACTGAATTCAGAATCTGAATGCATGGTACATGTATTGTACATGTCATCCTTCCTTCTTACCTGTATGTATGTTTGCATGGGATTCCTCAGAAGGTTCAAAACTGTCCGCTTGGACACGAAGTACAGCTGCAGCAGAAATTGTTTATATGAATGAAGATGTTTAATTACTGCATCAGAGTGATGAACTCCAACGAGATGACTGAGCATGGCAATAATTCACTAAATGCCAAGTTCAATTCAATGAAATCAGATTGTTCGACTCTAACACTTTGTATCTGGGTATCAGTGTAACGCTAATATCTTTCTGAACATATTTCACGTTTTAACCATTAAACTGGGGTACAAATTCCACAGTGTTTGCAAATATCATGACTGATTTCTGGGGCCACAGAAATGTAAGGCTAATAAGTGCCTATAACTGAGGACGGTAGTGTTGGTATCTACTCCAAAACCACATACATGTAACACTGGCCTTCCACGCCTTCCCTAGAATTAGACTCAAAGTAAAACAGCCAGAAAGTAAATTATCGAGTTTTATGCCACTGCCTTAATGAAGTTTTATTTATCCAGATACTGGATTTGGGCATACCAGTTGTCAGAAGAGTTAGTAAATAATAGGCACACCAGGCCCATCAGTTATGGTGCAACACCAGGCCCTTGAACAACACAGGCCCCAACAAGTATGGGAATACCACATGCCCAAATCTAAGTGTACATGTACAGGAGCCAAACCACAGTTCACATGTGCATTAACATACAATCACTTCCCACTGATGTTAAAATCAGCCAGGAAATTATAGCCTTGCAACACTTTTGAGCACTATGGAAACCTTAAAGACCAACTCAAAACGATTTTAAAAGTGTTTAGTGTGTAATCCTAATACCTAATTGAATACCTACCCCAAACAGTCGCTAAATATGCAAATTCCTTTGCGTCTGATTCCGAATTCGCTTAAACTTCTGATCAACCGTCGTACGCCCTCTAGTCCCATGATGCATAGCGGAATGGCCACCATGTTCGTCCTTTTTTTGGGGTATTAAAACCGTCCAAGCCAAAAGTGGGGAAGGGTGGGAGGGAGCCAACTGTTTGGGGTAGGTATTCCACAGCAGACCTCGCCCCCATTTCTGTGGGGAGGAGTTTTCTCTTTTCAACCTACCCCAAACAATCACTAAATATGTAGAGTAGCACCGAGCCCTTGGAGGGGGGTGCGGCGAGGACGCACTACATAATATGAACGCCAGAGGAGTATGAAATTGTCCAAACTTTATTGCGGACTCACCAAATAATGGAGTTATGTCGTTTCAGTGGTGGACCACTTTGATAAAGAAACCTTTGGCATCGATGTGGCTGATGTTAGGACCACTCTGCCATGTGCGGGGTCCTTTTGCAGAACATTGGTGAGGTAGCATGTGGTGAAAGGAGATGGGGTCTTCCAGCATGCTGCCTTGCATATTTCCTCCATCGGTATGCCCCTGAAGTACATGTAGGCCCATGATGTGGTAACTGCTCGGATATCATGAGCACTGATGAGGCGTAGTATTTTATTGTCCACAGAGTTTGGCCAATATGGGTTGGTAAACTTGATAACGGAAACTGTCCATCTGGCTATAGTATCTCTGGTCACAGCTCGGTGAGGTTTTATTGTAGTGATGAAAAGCTGCTAAGTTGTGCCTCTGAGTTTTCTGGTTTTGGCTAAGTACCATTTAAAAGGTCACACTGGGCACCATGGTTTGTTGTCGGGAGTCCCCGTGTGTTTGGCAATGTCTGGTACAAAAATGTCAGGAGGAAGGAAAGAACCTCACTGGTTCTTGGTGAGAAACCCCAGCGTTGGGATGAGATGAATGCCATGGGGTTCCCATGAAATATGGCCATCTGTGATGGACATTGCCTTCATCTCACTGCCATGACGTGAGGTAGAAACTGCTAGTAGGAATGCCAATTTTACTGATAGGTTGATCAACGATGCGTCACTGAGAGGCTCAAAAGGGGGACCAGCAAGCAGTTGGAGAACAGCTGACAAGTCCCATGAAGGGATTATTCTCAAGAAACATTCCCGGAGTAGATGTTTAAGAGCAGTATTTTCTGACACAGTCAAGCCATCGTGTATAGCCGCAATGGCTGACTGGTAGTTACAGATAGTTGAAACCTGGAGATCTGATTTGAACAGATGCATGGAGAAGTCAGCTATAGATGTCACAGAAATTTCGGTCGGAACAAAACCTCACTCTGAACACCACGAAGTAAAATGTCATAATCTGAAGACATTGATGATTTTGGTTGATGTAGCACATCCGGTCTGCCGGGAAGGATCACCAGTACCCGGACGAGAAGTCTGGTCAGACACGGGAACCATGACTGGCGTGGCCAGAAGGGGGCGATGAGAAGGACATGACAGCATTCCCATTTGATCTTGGAGAGAACTGCCGGTATTAGGGATATTGGAGGGAAAGCGTAGGCCAACATTCCTTCCCAGTTGATTTGAAGAGCGTTTGTTGCCCAGGCTTGCAGGTGGTAAAATCTGGTGCAGAATACTGGCAGTTGGGTGTTCTCTGCCGAGGCGAAAAGATCGCTGTTCGGTTTCTCTACTTCGGTGAAGATCTGTTCGACTAAACTGATGTGCAGAGTCCACTCCGTGGGACGTACCTTTCCCCAGAAGATCTGCTATGGAGTTGTCAACACCAGGAATGTGGGTCACCTGGAGGTTGATGCCATAATCCACGGCCCAAAGGAATATTTGTCTCATCAGGAGGCATAGGAGTTGTCCGAGTGGATGAGGACTCGTTTACCTATGATGCTATGATGGGTGGAAAGTTTTCAGTGCATTAAATATGGTCTGAAGTTCCAGTACATTGATGTGACTCCCTAGGAGCTGGAGGTCCCATGTTCCCGATGCGTGAAGCGGTGGTAGGGAGGCTACCCAGCCCAGATGAGAAGTTATAGTTATTTCCGGGTTCACCTTGGGGAAGGGAACTCCGAGAGAGAGGCGTCTCTTCACTAACCACCACTGGAGATGGGGGCTGATAAAGTCAGAGATGGGGACCTGGAGATTGATTGAGTCCCATTTTGGCCTGTAGAGAGCTAAAAGATGAAATTGTAGTGGACGCATGTACAGCCTGCAGAGGGGGATGAGGTCCACCATGCTGGCCATCAAGCCGAGGAGGCGGAGCCAGGTGCGGGCCGGAGCAGATTGCTCGGTAGAAAAAACGTTCACGCAGTCGAGACGGTTGTCGATGCGTTCGGTCGTTGGTGAGATTATGCCTCGTTGAAGGTTGACAGACGCCGCTACATACATCAGGTATTGCACAGGGGTGAGATTTGACTTCTCGTGGTTGATGATGAAGCCCAGGCGATTCATGATGTCGCGAGTAAGGCGGGCAAAAACCTCTGTTATGTTGAATGATCTGGCGATGATCAGCCAGTCGTCCAGGTACTGAAACAGCATGACGTCCCGCCTTTGAAGGTGGGCAGCAATGATCTTTGCAACCCTCGAGGACACTCTCAGTGAAGTGGAGAGGCTGAAGAGGAGAGCTGTGAATTCGAAGAGGTTCCTGTTGTATAGGAAGCGTAGGTATTCGTAGCTTCGTGGGTGAATCGGAATGTGAAGGTAGGCATTTTTCAAGTCTATGGAAGAGGCCCAACATGTAGAGATTGCGTGACCATCCGAAGGGTTTCCATGCGGAATTCCCTCGGGTGGATAGAGCGGTTCAGAGGTTTGAGGTTGATAACAGGTCACCAGCTGCTGAGTTCCTGCTTTGGAGTGAGGAAGAACGTTGAAATGAAGCCCTTGTTCGCTTGAGATTCGGGAACCGGGCAGATAGCATGTTTCGGAAGGAGAGAGTCTATCTTGGACTCCAGTGCCTGTCATTTGTTTCTGTCAGTAGGAACTGGAGTCGGACGGAGGATAGGTACAGGCAGAGGGGAGCTCAAGAATTTGAGGGCGCATCTGTAACAAATGGTCATGAGCAACCGGCTGTCTGATGTGACTTTTTCCCAAGACTCTGCGAAGAGTTGAAGTCGCCCGCCGACACCCAGAGCGCAAGCTACCGTCGGACCGCCAGCAGCTGAGCAGCGGCTGGGCGGCGTTAGCACGCAGCTCATTAGCTTCTTAAGGTCCACTGATGGTAGCCACCTCGTATTAGACATAGGTTTTGCTGATCGTAGAACACCCACGAACCGCGTTATGTAGCCAAAGTTGAACCACAGTTGGACCGATAGTGACAAAGGTTTTGTGATAAAATTTTTGTTTAATTAACAATTAATAGCTGGATCGGTCGAAAGAAATTAATGGCAAATTTAAAATAAATGTATATAACTATTTTTTCTTTTTTCAATCTTTTATTGACGTATACAATTTGGATTTTGGATACTGATTGTGCCAATTGTTTTCCAATTCTGACCATAATATGCTGCCATGATGCGAATGATCTAGCAGTATCACCGTACCCCTGCAGCGCCAGCCACGGAATGGAACTTCGGTTGGAGATTTTTGATGCATCACGACATGAGGTCGCGGTGCCCATGTGATACACGCGTGCACACCAGTCATCCACAACGCCCATCGGCCAGCCAGCAGTCCCAGCGCACAATTCGCATGTCAACGTGGCACGTTCATGTACAGTACATGTACAGTACGTACATGTACATAGGCCTACTGTCAGACATTTGAATTTTGCAAGCCTCCTCTGTGCGCGACGCGATACACTTCATGCTGAAAATTCCCTGACTTTTTTTAATATTACTAATGTTATAGCTCCATTTTCCGGCTCTTCACAGGATTTTGGATTAACTAAGATGAGTGTAGTATACATGTAGAATTATTCAGGCTCGGTGCTTTGTAGCCTAAGGACATGAGTGTTTTGTACAAATTTTGTCATGTCATGGCCATGATGGCCGTTAACTGCATGCAGTAGGCATGGTTCATTGTAGTGTAGAGCCCCATGGAATGCTTTGCTTGTGACTAGTCGGTGTGGTCCTGTCAGTTGGCCTAAATTCATGAGGCCTTGATCGCCCAGGTCATGCAGGTTGTTTGACAAGGTCTTCATTCATGTCATTACGATCATGACAATCATGACATTTCAGTTGACTTTGTGACCATAGGCCTAATGTCCATCAGGCCATGAATTGTCCATGTGTAACGTTAGCTGCTATAGCGAGATTTTGGAGTTTGAATTTTTTTCCACTTTTTCCTTACACTGAGGTAGGATTCCGTCCACAAGTTCCGTATCTTCTAATGTCCGAAATCGTCATAGGCGGGGTTATGAATCAGTAACCAGTTTGAAGTGGGACTGTATGAAGCCAATTTGCTCAAATAAGTTGATTCCTGCTGCACAAGTAATGTGTTGTTAAACTAGCTGAGAAGAGGGATTCTTCATGTACAGCACATAACAGTGGTGAACACGTGTAAGGAAATTGAACCTATCTTTTGACAAGCACAAATACTGAAAAAAATGATGCACTCAGAGAATTGGGATAAAAAGAATCAATCCAATTGATTTGTGTACCGTGTCCTCATTCCTCCTTGTTATGTCAGCATAACTCTTTTATTTAATATGAGCAAATGTCAGTGTCCCCGGGAGACAATTCTAACATGATTCAGGAGAAAATTTTCTTGCTGCACAAATACTGTCTTTTGCTTTGTAGTGAGTTTCGTCACTTTGTCAAAATTGCAAAATACATGAGTCGTGTAGGCATTATTCATGTATACATGCATAATGAGTTTTTTATTTCTGGTGGCCACACAGCACCTCCCTGGCACCTTGGTGACGGAGCTTAAAACAGAAATACTAGAATTGAAGAGAAAGGTGGACCAGCAAAACAATTTGCTGATTTCTCTGCAGCTACATGTAGATGCGGGACAACATGGAGAAGACTATTATCTACCAAAGGGCCTTATCTTTCCCCTGACGTCTCTTCAAGACATCGATTTCTTGGAGAGGCTTCTTCAGGAAGACTCGCGTTTGGAGAAGCACCTGGTATGGAAATTCATGACTCTGTTATGCCAATGAAAATTTACATATTCCTGAAGACAACTGAAGTATACTGAGGCACCACAAGTATCAAAGTTTCATTATAAATTGTACACAAAAAATCTCTATTTTTTACTTTGCAGTAAAAATTTTACACATTGGCTTTGGCATTTCATTTTTGCATAAATTAATGAAAATAAGCCAACCAGTTCATTACTTTTTTCTCAGCCTATGGGCGAATGTTAAGTTCAAAATTTGTACAAGAATGAATTTATATAATGATTCATCTGTTTGTGGATTTTATTTTAGATTGCATCCTGGTCCAGTACAGGAGGCTTCTCCACTTATGAGGCCTTAAACCGCATCATTGGAAGGGCTTTCCACAACGACGTGCTCAAAATGTTAAACTGGACAGGGCAAGGGGGAAAGAAGTCATTCAAAAGCTTAAAGTGAAGAGCATTCTGGAAAATAAGTTTGTGGATGTATTTGGAGATAGTTGAACTGAATTAAGCCCACTGAAAATATCAACTAATTGTCATTTGGTCCGATGTCTGGTTATTTTTAAGGTTTCCCTCGTGCAAATTCACAGTTTGCCTAGCTAGTAATGTTGACAACAACCCCCAATTTTTTATTTAAGTTGAAACTTCATTTGTATTAATTTCTTTTTCTCAAATCGAGCGAGAGAGGGTCACATTTTCTGAAGGGGATTCCTTTCCCTCCCATTTGCTGTAGGTATTTGTAGGTATTTGGGTCCCATAAATGTTGAGCTTTTTTGAAAACCATGCTTGGATTCAAACTCGAATTAGAGCTTATCAATTAACACACTTAAGAGGGCAAGGGTTTTGTATCATTGTTGTTTAGCTTGAGTAAATCTACTGGACTTAAATTAATTTACATTGTTTCATACAGAATCGATCCGGAGGAACAAACCAACAAGCAAGGCTATAGACCTGGAGATCCAAAAGGAGGTCGTCCATTACTGGAAGGGGCAGCAGATCAATGCGGTGGACGGAAGAATAGACAGAACCGTGCCCCTGTCACAGCTGCTGCTGCCCCTACTCAGGCTGAGCAGGACTAAAAATGTTCCTCTTCTTAATGGTTTCCTAAAAGACGAATAAATATGATGCCTGTCGGCTGAATTTACTAAACCAGTTAATGCAGTATCCTGACAACTAAGTATGCACAACACATGCAAAAAGAAATGCTGCTTTTTCATTTGCCAGAAAAAACAAGCAGCTACATGTATTGCCTTCCCAATATTTTTTTTCTTGCATTTTGTAAACTAAAGTTTTGGTTTAAAGTGTTTTAAACCAAAACATCTTCTTGCCAGCATGTATTTTGTTTACATAGAAGAGACTTTAAGGCAGTTTTACCTCTCATATTATGTATACAGGTATAGCCAAGAAACTTGACCAGCTAATCCACATGACATTTTGGTCCACACAAAATAATTAGGGAAGCCATCATCTGGCATTCCAAAGTTAAGCGTAAATTACAGTACTGTACCTCATTCAGTATAAATTTAAATTAAGGTTGCCACTCCTGGGGCCAATTACAGTGCTTTATGAGTAGACCTGTCTTGGTTAAAAGTATGGGGAAAAAACGCAAAAGGGAATTTGTACTTAATTAGGTTTTTTTTGTTTACGACGTATAAAAATCCTACGGTATATGAAACTCAGAATGTATGCCTTCTCAATGTATACATTTTTATCATACTGTTCATCATAATACAGTACCTGCACATGCATTCCTTAAATATCTCAAAGCAATATCACGAAAGTCTACCCCCAGGAGGTCGGGGGTAACGCGACTTGATAGTTCTTCCCTTGAAGCTCCTCTGGGGTGGTTTGGTAGGCCGAGAGGAGGATGGACAGCCACAATTTGTCTGGTAACTGGGTTGACAAATGGGGTAAAAGGAACCATAACTGCCCTGACATGGAGGTCTGAAGGGTCGGGCCCTGTGGTCATCAGGATGAGATTGGTGAGGTGGAGCTGCTGGCTGAGGTTCACGGAAACTAAGTTTGTGTTGTGTCAATGCGCATAACTTCTGACTCCATCATCTCCATGAACTTTCCCACAAAAAGGTCTTTGCCATAAAGGGGAAGTACTTGAAGTTTTTACTTGACTCCCTCATGGGGAACGTTCATGGCATCTAAGGTGTTGGATCTGCCTGCAGAAGTGGCTCAAATGGACATCCAAACGAACTGCTCGAAGACAGAGTTGACGTTATCATCAAGTACTCGAAGTGCGACAGCTGCCAAGTCGGGAGTAACTGGTGAATCTTCGTCACACGCTCGGGCCAAATACTCAGAGAGGAGTGCCATAAACATGGTGCAGCGAAGACCATGTCATGAGGCTTTGTCAAATTTAGGAAGAGTAGACTCAACAAAACACTTGTCCTTGTCTTAAAATGGAGACTTTCCTGTAGGCTTGTGAGCGTTGGAGGAAAGTTTATCTTTAGCCTCAGTTGGAATCTCAGGGACAGAGAGGAAGTTGTCAAAGTCCTCCCTAGCAAACTGGAAATAAGTCGAAGCTCTGGACGCCATTGTTTGGCACCAACGAGAACTTTTAAACATCTCGACGCATGAGCGGTCAACTGGAAGTTCTGTGAAAATTGGGGTTGATGCCTCCACCCACTTGAGCAATACATTAACTGCCCTACCATGTATTTTCTTCCGAAAATGCATAAAACAACCCCACCGGGTGAACCCTTTGTCGGCAGACCTATCATCAGTGGTTGCACAAGTCCAACAGCCAAGATCTCTGAGTATGTGGACTATTTCCTCCTTCCTATAGTATCCGCCCAATCCACATATGTCTGTGACACAACGGACATATTACGGAAACTAGAAAAGGAAAAATTTCCCCAAAACTCACTCCTGGCAAGCATCACTGTTGTCTCTATGTACACCAACATTCACCAGGCGCAAGCTATTGAATCGGTATGCAAAACCTACAACACAACCAACTTCAGCTACGCCATGATCCCCATCCAACTACATCCACACTCTCTTAGAACTTGTTCTAGGTTGCAACTACTTTCAGTTTGGATGTAAATTCTTCAGACAGAAAATCGGATGTGCAATGGGATCAGTAGCCAGCCCAGAAATTTGCGACATAGTTTTACATGAATTTGAGTCGGAAATCTTAGCCCCCATGGACAAAATCCTATTCTGGGCTTGATTCAGAGACAACATTCTCATCATCTACAATGGATAACTTGATTCCTTCACCCAATTCGTTCACCACCTGAATCAACTGCACCCTACCCTCAAATTCACTTTTGAGGCATCCCAAACTTCCATTACCTATTTAGACATTACAATTTTCTAAGGTCCACATTTCCTCTCTAACGGTACCCTGGATACGAAAGTATTCAGGAAACCAACGGAAACGTTCAAATACCTGGACAGAACTTCATCCCATCCACAACACGTATTCCACGGCTTCGTCAAAGGAGAAATCCTGAGATAAGCCAGAAAAACAAATAATGGGAAAGATTTTCTACAAAAAAACAAAGTTTTGCAGAAAAACTTTTGCAACGAGGCTACAATCAAGCCGAGATTCAAAGGTCGATGCAGTCCATTAATTTCCGGCAACAGGAATCCATGATTCACAACAACTGAAAAGTGAATAACAAAAAAGAACTTCCACTCGTCTTCCCCACTATGCACAATCCCCATGTGAAATACAAAGATATCAAAAGAGCTCTTCTTAAACACTGGCAGCTCATCTCTGGCAACCCAATATTAAAGGAAGTTTTCCCCAAACCTCCTTTTAATAGTTGCCTACAATGTAGTCAAAAATATCAAGAAGAACACTATCACAGCCAAACTCAGCCATGCGGAAGACTATCACTCCTCCACACCTGAGGAACCTGACTACGCTTTAGATATCCTCATTTTACTTTTGAATGAACAAACCCATTCAAACTAATTGTGCATGAATATCATGCCCAGAGAAACGCAATCACTTTTCCGTCAAGTGAGTGCTATTCCACTCACTAAACCATACCTGTACACATTCCAATTCATATTTTGAATCAAGCAGCTGATTAGTCCCCGAAGGGATGAAAATGCATTCCCGCTAATTTCTCAGGTAAAACCTAAATCAAACCCACCGCTTGGATAAACATGGTTTCAGTCTACACAAGTTTAATTCTTATTATTTCTACCCTCCCGAGGCTCCCCTATAGTCTCCACATAGAAATAAATCACTCAGTGACACACCCTCGAATAAACATGAGTTTTTTCAAAAGCACCTAAAGTTTATTCGTTTGGATTCAATCTATAAGAGCGAGTGTCTCTGAATGGGATAGAGCCATCACTTTTTATCCAATACTTTGCACATCGTCAACATTCGTGTTTCGCTGTCACAGTAGTGAAAACGTGTGCGAAACTCTATGCATTAAACGAAGGTGCTCTAGTTCCCGCTGCACCGCACCCATGCAAAAGAATGCGTCATGCAAATGTAGCAAGCAGTACCAGTCTGTACATGTACTGAATGTATTGTACATAAAAACTCTTCATCGGCCGTACATGTCACGAATGCAGAAGGCTGCAGGCCTGAAAGACATCGATGTTATGTTGCAAGAGGTTTTCTCTAATTTAATTCACAGAACTTGGTCTCATATTTATTTATGTATACAATTCATGAGTGTAATTTGAGGTTGTTCTGCTCATGGCACAAGGTTTATCGCCCGCTGGTGATGCATCATGCATGCTTACTGCACGATACAAGGACATTGTTGGCCAGTTTGCTGTAGTGATTGCCGTCGTGATTGTGTGAATTGTTCAAAATTTTCTACATAAATTAAGACAGGTGTTAATCACTTTTTGAGATATTTTTGGAGGCTGTCGCCCCCACTGATTCAATCAGCACAAAATTGCCCTCAAATAAACATAATGTTCCAACCTACCGACACAATTTTTGATAGGCATGCACAGCACAACTACATCACGTATTTTTTTGGCCTAATAAAACTGCATTTATGCACTAGGCCTTAGTTACATAACAGCATTACATTGTCCCATGGAGAGTCAGTGTCTTTGTCACGGCTGGGTGCCCCGGTTGAAAGGGTGTCTGAAGACAATGGCACCGGGGGTGATGCGACCGGTGTACATAGCACTGGCAGTGTGGGCCCACTCCGGCGCATAGTCTTGTGAGCCATGCTGATGTCGGGTGTTGCCCATGGTAGGTGTTGACAAGAGCTTGTTGTCGGCCGGCATCACATGTTCGGAATGCTTGGGAACTGGAACGCAGAAGTGTTGCGCCCAGACCTAGCTGGTGGAGGAAATTTCAACCCCGAGTGCAGCGCCACTCTGCACTATCATCGATTGCGATGCTTTGGTGTTACATTGGGGAACTGAGCCCTTGGATATCGCACGCACTGCAGCTAAGACCATTGAAGCAGACATTTGCCACGGAGTCACAAGATTAGCAAGATGCCACTCGATCCTCCGCAGACCGACTCCTGTCGGTCTATAGGGGAAAGCAGGTCATGGAATTCCGAATGCTCGCACTTCGTTGTGAACCCCAACAAACCCCGGGTCACCCCGATGACCCTATTTATACCAAGGAAAAAGGGGGACTGCAGTATTGGACCTCTGTCTCACGGAACCCCCAACAATCCCAGGGTCACCCCGTTGACCCTGTGTGCTTGGTAGTATAATAGTGTAGAGTCAACAATCTATAAAATGTACACACATGAGAAGAGAGACCATACCACCAAAACAAAAAAATACACACATCAACTCTGAAATATTGAATGTACGTTCGTTACAATACGTTACAGTTTGATCAGAATATCACAAAGGTGTAGAAGCGAAACAGAAACTTGATAAACTCGAAGAAGTCAAAAAGACACGTCCGTTTAGAATCACGCTTAGGAAAAGAAGGATGAACATGACGGCCATTCCGCTATGCATCATGGGACTAGAGGGCGCACAACAGTAGATCAGAAATTTTAGTGAATTGAATCAGATGCAAAGGAATTTGCATATTTAGCGACTGTTTGGGGTAGGTTGAAAGCAGAAGACTAAGTCATATATTCATTACCAAATCAAGTCTGTTTTGGGTCTGTATTTTTTGTAATTTTGCCGAAACTTCTGAATGGTGTCTTTGAGTTTTATGAGAAATTTCCACAATCTAACAGCTGACGGTGCTGTTGAGAAATGAAATTTGTATGATGTAATACTGGAGAAAACATTGAAACTGGTATCATGGCACGACTGGTTCCCCTACGAGCGTCCATGTATAAACATGGAGCTACATGTGCGTGCACCGTATACCGGAGATTGATCTTTGTGCCGCATCTACAGTGCCCTATCGAGAATTTGTGGTCCTTTCATCATAATTTACAATAATGCTGAAATTGTGGGTCATTGGTGGATGAAACCATAAATCTGCAAAAGAACTGGGATTCAAATTCTATGAGTTTCCGAAGAATAAGAGCATTCTTCAAGTTCGTGCTGTCGTCCGTGGCTGCGTGTGCTATGCATGCCTAAAGTGTACGCATTGTTGTATTTCATTTAAATGGTAATACATCACAAAAATCATTATACATTAGATGCTAATGAGTCATAACAACATGTCCATTTTTTTTAATACTGGAATGGAGTCACAGGAAAAATGGGTACAAAAATTGTTTAACTAACACAAAATTGTGCATTGCAAAGGAAATACAGATATGTGCCACTTTTATTAGAATTGGCTCATCTGAATTCGATTCAATGAGAAAAGTTAGCATCGTTGGAGTTGGTCTATTGGTAGGAATTTTTGTGACAATTATAGATAATTAATCCAAAGGAATTTAAATTCAAAAATATGAGGAAAAGGAGTTACTGGCTGTCTGTATCTGTGGAACTTGCCAGACAAACCCAAAAGAACGCAGCAATGTATAAGAACCCACAGACATTGCCCTAAGAAATACCTACATGTACTGTTTCATGCTGCTATTGTACAATATAAAGATCTGAATGAATGTGCTTTGTAGGTGGAGCTACAGGGGTGGTAGTAGGTGAAAAATGGAATGCAGGAAATTTTATGTTTGACTGAGCACCCAGAAGGGCAAGCGGCTGTGCAATTACAGCCATCTGCACTTCTACCATTGCGACACGTAACCAAGAGAATCTAATTGGTCAAAGGTTTCCAGCATGATTTGCATGCCTGTGACCTTTCACACATTGCACAATTGTCCCTTATTAGGCTGATATCTGGCCAGGCCTGAAGTAATCACTCAGCATGCCACACAAAATATGACAGAGTTTGATGACTGAGATGTACTCGCCTGTTTAAATACTCGCATATTTGTAATACACTGTAAACCGGCTGTGAGCCGGATAAAGGTTTGCTGAGTACATGTATAAGACCTTTACCCTGTAGGGGCAAAAGGAACTAATGAAAAAGCTACAAAAGAAGCCTGAGAAATATGAAGAGCCGTGTAGCACCTTGATCAGAATATTGAGAGTAATATATATACATGTATAATCGGTGCCCTGAAATATATGACCTCACCTCTCACCCAAAGCAGTAAGCTTTAAGCTTACTGCCTAAAGTAATAACAGTACAGTGAAAAGAAAACCTAAAGGGTGAGAGGTGAGTCACATATTTCAGAGCACTGATTATATATTATATGTTTGTCAATATCCTGATAACGGTGCTACACAAAGCCTACTGGATTCAGTCAGGAAATGTAGATGTCAGGAGGTTTTTTATTCCCTATAGATCCCAACAAGAATTTGGACAGGATGCCTAACTGCGAAGGTTGCCCAATTACAAGCATTGCCGCAACTCCAAACAGTTTATTTCTCTGACATATCTCGCAAAATGATCCATTTTACACAACTTCCAGGTGGGTAGTGTCAACAAATTTGAGCTGGGAGGGGTATATACATGTACGAGGTACATGTACCTATCTTAGTACCTTTTTCAGTCTGAACGTAATATTATTTCATATTCTGATACCGTTAATTCTGAAGTACATGAGAAGTACATGTGGGCCTTATCCTTTACCTGAAAACCATGGAAAAATAAAGTTAAAATCTGAGAATTAATTCATTCAATTACATGTATTTTTAATGCATCCAACTGATTATTTGTATCAAATTGTAGTGATCCTGTCATGTGCTGCAATGTCAAATGCTGATTGGTTGTTGTACAAAGGTGTAGAAAAACATTTTTGGTGTTAAACTGCTTGACACTGTCTCTTGTGGATATTGGTAACTGCTTAAAGTAATTAAAAAGCAGTGAAAAGCAAATCTAAATGGTGAGAGGTGAGTGGGTGGGCAGGATGGTGGAGGGAGAGAAGGTAAGGAGCCCAGCATTGCGTCAACATACCTGTGTCAAGAAGGAGGTTGGGTACTTAATGATTCTCATATCAACCTCCTCTGTGCTCATGTACTCCTTGTAGATCTGACTAGCTTTCTCCTGCAGACTGCTGTGGAGGGCTGAGTTCTTGAACAGGCTGGCAAGCTTGTCACTCAGTAAGTCGGACCGTGAGTCCACATTGACAATAGAATCTTGGCTGTCTTCAATGCCTGCAAAAATTGAGTCCAAGTGGCCCTTTAAACTTGGAAAGTGTGATCTCAGAATTTAGTTTTAAAATCCCTGACGGGGAAAATTATTTAAAGTTGGGGCCAGCCGAAAGGGATCTTCTTTATTGGTACATGTAATTCTATAAATTTTGGCTCTAGTTTTTCATGTCCCTGTTGGTGTTGATATTTTCAAAATAGTCTTGTAAATGGAAGCAAACATTCTGTATCTAGCAAGCGTATATTGATGTGCAATCCCTCAGAAACATGGACTACAAAGCAAAGTTGATATAACCCCTGAACCTTGCTTCTTTCCCTACAAATCTTCCTTAGTGTAAGCATCCTTATTTCACCTGTTCCACTGTCCTCCATTACTGTGGTGATGGCCATAGAATCTCCATTGATGATATCCAGGAAGAAATCAGGAGGGTTATTGTGTTCCTCGCAGATGTACCCTGAAGGTGGGTCAAGAGTGTTCATCTTTGAGCAAAATATTCCCAAAGCTAATATTTCATCATTAATGCAAACTGTTTGGCTTGGGCTTGCTTGGTTGTTTTGCCTTTCTCCAACTGTGTGTAATCTATCTGGGTGACTATGTATGTAGTCATTTTACTTCAAACCAACTATTTTCTGTAATTAAGTACGGTACTTACATATTTTAAACAGTTATTTACTTCATAAATTTTACAGCGATTCTTTGTGAAGGTTTATGTATGTCAAGGCAAGCAGTCATCCTACAAATTTACAAAAGGCACTAGCAACTCCTTTCAGTAAGTACAATTACAACATTATGAATTAACAATGTCAAATTGTTCCACAAATACACTTAAACTATGCATGAATTATGCTTAGATTTGAAAATTTCATTATTAAATTTACAGAAAATTGCTATTGAAGTATAAGTGCAGTTTTTAATATTTTCCTTCTACATGTATATATACTCTGTTTTTTATAACAAAGTAATTTGACTTATTTTTGTAACCTACAGAATATCTCAAGAGAAATCAATTGCAATTAAAACTGGAATATACTTGAATTGTTACAGTGTAGTATATAAATACTACACTGTAACAATTCAAGTATATTCCAGTTTGGATGTTTAAACAGTGAGTGCAATTAGAGGTGCAATCCCACATTTACAGCGGTGCAAAGTAATTGATGAAATACATGTAATTGTTGAAAAGCAAACTTGGTTTAAAGAACTTACATGTATGGGACTTTGCAAGTAAGCTGTCATTTTGAGGAAAGTGATGAAAGAATGCCATTTTCATAAATATGTCTTTAAACACATGTTGGACACTGCCATTCTTAGTTCATTTATAATTTGGTGAAGCACAGTCAAGTTTTGGCACAATTATCAAGGGTGTGTGGAATTTGCATACAAATCAAAACATGATTCTGTTACTTCTGATTTGGACTTGACAATCTTGAATGTTGTTTTTCTCACAATATATTACACCAAAGACTGTTCCTTGAAGGTTGGACAACAAATATTTAAACGTATCAAAAGTAAGCAAGTAAGATGTTTTCTCAAAACCAACCATTTTGTGAAAAGTACTCTAGGGCCTGATTGGCCATGCCGTGGTACACTGTGTTGCCTAGTGACAGGAGATGCATTCTGTCAAACAGCTTGTAGATGGAGTACCGAGGCTGATGGATGGAGAAGATGATGGTACGCCCTCGCTTGGACAATCTGCAGTATGTCAGTACACAAAAAGACAGGTGTACCTGTATGTCCAGTTCTTGTGTTAACATTGAAAAGGATGAGACACTACAGAGCACATTCAGGACAAAAAAAATGCACCCAAGGAAGAACAGCAATGAACAGCCTCCAGGGGTAGCATATCAATCATTTGTTGTGATTCTATTTGTATGATAAGACTTTCAACATTCAGAGTGTTTTGCAAATTGATAACTTGTACGAACGGAGTTTACTATTAAGATCATAATACACTGCAAAGAAATCCCTGAACATAAGCCATTTGTTACGGGGGAAACTACTACCCAAAAATGTGAAGAACACAATAAAAATGTCTTCCTACTACCGCTAAAATCTGCATGCTGAAATTATTTTGCCTTTGATACTAATTCTTCTGGAACCAAACATCAAGCATTCTAACTGTTTTAAGATTTGTATATTTCAGGTCACTGTGGACAGTAAGCAGTTCACAACAGTTTTACTTTGATACTTAGATATCTTGTCAAAGAAGCAGAAGTCTTGTGAATGAAGCAGAGTCATATTTCCATTCACAACTCAATTACTCTGAGTTCGACTGCTTTATCTTCAATGTGTCCAACTGTCACAACATGTTCCATACCTTCCCGGAAAAACCCATGAGAGCCTTGTTGGCCTTTTTTTCCCACAGAAACTTACTGCACATTCCTTCTTGTCAATCTACTGTGCATTCCCACATGGACTTTTTTACCATAACAGAATGTTTATTCACTGTGTTAGGCCTAATAAGACCTGTTGATTACATTGCCTGCACTGTACAAATCATGACAAAATTGGCAAAATCTGACAAAAACAGAGACAAAATCTGACTAATTCAACCAAATCTGCTACAAGGACGACGAACCCCTACAGGAAAAGCCCCGATACAATGTGTACAGCTTTATCGGGGCATGCTTCACTGTGTGTGCGCGGCATCCTGCCGTACTGTGCGCAGGAAGCTGGAACAATACAACCATTTTTGTGTGCCTGCTATTGATCTCTGTGTAGGCAGTAGTCTAGTTTGTATGTTTAGCATGGTTGAGGTCAATCTACATTGTGTTCCAGTTGAACTTTTTTGCACCCCTGCTAATTTACCGTGGCTGTGCGGAAATCTTCTGCGACCCTTTTCAGCCTGGTAGTTTTACACTGCGATTGTGGTAAGTTGACAGGGACGTCAGTTTACTGTGTGTTCCCATTGGATTTAATTTTATAATTCTACAGAAAAGTCATGGTAAGTTAACCAAAAAAGGTCCAATGGGAACATGGCTCTATAAGCTTTTCATCTGGGAAATATACCAATAAGAGACCAGTCACTTTATTTACCCTGTAAACCAAGCTACTCACTTGGAGAGGAGCAAAGTGACAGCATTAGCTGTGCTTGCATCCAAGCCAGTGGTTGGTTCATCCAAGAACAGCACTGATGGTTTTGTGATCAGCTCCATACCAACGTTGGTCCGCTTCCTCTCCCCACCAGAGACCCCCCGGATGAACTCAGTCCCAACCTTGCCAATTCAGAAGGAAAATTCTCAAGGATTATTAGTGGCGAGACTTGATACTGAGCCAAATTGCAATATGTGGGAATCTGGCATTTTGCCAGAATCCTCCAAATGTGCCACTGTACAGAGATGGCGAGCAAATTTCTTTAAACTTGACTTTCTGAGACATGTCACATGGTGCAAAGTGTCATGTTAAGTAAAGTGACTGTATCATACCACAATCTTCCTTCTTCAAAAGTCCTTATCAGCCAGATGGCCTGAAAAAGGAAATGAAAATCTCATTTCCTGTCAAACTTCTTAAAAAAATCCTTGTACCACATTAATTCTATTCTGAAGGCAAAAATTGAGCTTTGTTTGATTTTTACCCAGATCCCCATTGTCTTTTGGCTGGGTTCTGCCTCCCTGGTGAATCCTTCAAAATCCTTATATATTATGTGCACTGTTGCATGTACCAGTATCTGTTCATTACTGATGGTTTTGGCTGTGTGCTTCTATTTGTCATGTTTGTTGGCCATAAGGCTGTTTCTCTGTTTGTGTTAAAGGGTCTCCCAGTAAAATTAACCCTTTCAGTGCTTTTACTCTTTCACCTTACACATACATGTACCTTTAGAACAAGTCTTTTTTTAAATGAAATAAAGAACCACGTGGTTAGCATTTAGACTCACATCTCAAATTTCGTGCATTTTATATTTATGATTTTTGATAATTTGTTCTAAAACACAATGACAATTCTTTAAAAAACATTGACAAAATTATGATGATATTGCTGGGGACAATCATGTATATTTCAACTGAATACTGGTAACTACTTTCATTGCCAAAAAATTGCCCATATTAATGTACATGTAATACAGTACAGGAGATGATGTTGAATTTCTGTTCCAACTACATGTACATGATGGATGTCAGGGGTTTAACTCTGCACCCATCCCTCTAAACTGAATAGCACTCTGTACAAAAATGAAACTTTTTTCTGCAGCTAATACACTACACTGGGTATTCATAGAACACTGAATATCCCTACTGCCATCTGTGAATTTACTTTGCAAATATTAAAATGTTGACCAGACAACCTTTTGCTGGAACCACTTCTAGACTGCTGGCAATCACGTGCATGGGTCAAAGGGCAAAAAAACACTCTTACTAAAATTAGACATGCCATGACAAAATGAACAAAAACACAATTACTGTACAAAAGGCATATATACCTATGTAGCACCAAAAACACAAGTGAAACAGAAGTCAAAATACATAATGAAAACAGATAGTCACAGTTACCTGTAAACATAAATTGAAATATATACAAACTTACAGTTCAAGCCAACTTCTATAATTAAGAAATAAAAGTTACCCAAACAGTAAGAATTTGAATTTAATTTTTGTAATTATTTATTCTGTGTCAATACATTTGGAGTTTAAAGGTCAGTGATTATTATTAATTCCTTTCAATTTATTGAGAACTCTTAAAAATGTGTAAACCACACAAACATAGGCTATACTGAAAGTTGTGAATTTTAGCCTCCAGTTAACCATAATCTCTCCGTATCCTGCAAAATCCTCAAACCATTTGAGGATTTTGTAGGACTTGGTCACTACAACTTTACAAGTTTATAATAATATGTGGTGCTCCAGGCAACCTAAAACTTTCAAGTGATCCTGAAAGTTACGGTACACGTATAGAGTGTCAAAGTGCCATTCCAGTACATCAGTTCTACTCTAGCAAAGAGTTTTGGGCGATTCTGAAAGTTCCCAGCAAAAGAGTGCCTCAGGATTAAAAGTGAGGAACATAATGATATGATTTTAATGCTGGCAACAACGATGTAAACTACATTTATTTATCCTGAAACTAACTCTACCTTTGTCTCTGAGCACAGATTAAGGCCAAGTTCGTTGATAACATCTTGCACCCGTTGCTTCCGTTCTTCCCAAGACACTTCTTTGGACAGGCGCAGATTTGCCGAAAATGCCAGATTTTCTCGGATGGTTAGAGTTCCCATGACAACATCGTCCTGTTGAACAATTTTTAAATGTTCTACATCTCAAGTAATAGCAACTATGGAAACAAAGTTGTAACAAGTTATGGTACAGCAAAATCCTTTATTTTTTAAACACTTTTTACTTTGAAAAGCATTACCAGTTCTAACCTGTAAACTTGTCCAGGTGTACATGTACTTTCATTATGGAATCTGACTAATTATGTAGTCTTGGAAAAGTTTAGTCAGTCACCCACCTGAACAACATAGCCAGAGACTAGTTTGAAGTTTTTAGGCTGAGATTTCCCATCAATAAGCACAGTTCCTGTCAAGCCCTTCGGGTCTTTCCTTGCTGCCAGGGTGTCCAGGAGTCTAATTTAATAAAATATAAATGCTGAAGTTGTTGAACTAAAACAGATGGCTGTACTGTATTTCATATTACATGTAAATGGCCAATGCAATATAATGGTTGTTAATGCAGTTCTTGCAAATGATCATTTTGTGTCTCATTTCACCCAACTTTCAATTTTTTGTGCTATTTCGAGAGAATTTTGGTGTCTTTTGATTTTCATACCAATGAAAATTTGCATGAGCTCATGTTAATGTGATATCAGCCAAGGAAGAGACTTAACACAAAGAATGTGACAATAACATATCCCAAAGTCTGGGAAAATTTTGTACAGAAATATCTGTAACAGTTGTTTCAGCTCATAACAGAACAATAGTCAGCAAAGTTTTCTTACAAATACAGGTAGTGCAAAAATTTAACTGTCTCAATGCTTTCATGCTCAAGGTAGCCACTCCATTCAGGAACTGGAGTCAGTGCTGTGACAGCAACTGTAACATGACAGGGGCCATTATTCTAGAAAAGCAGCCCCAATTTTCATCTGGTGTGTGAACATAATTTTGAAGGTGATCCCCCTTAAACAATTCAAATTGAGAAACAATGATTGTAGGGTGCAGTAAGTTATTACAAAATGTACATCATAAATTGACAATGGCAATCCAAGCATCAGCAAGTGCTCAAATCAGAATATTTCCAGATAACAGTAAATGGATGCGTTTGATATTGTTATCTTGAGGAATGCTATTTTTGGTTTCTACACCTTAGCGTGGGGGGTGTTCCTTTTTCTTTCTCTTTCTTCACCTTACGGCAAAAATACCATTTTGGCCCGACATGAAGGTTTGGCCAATTTAATCACCTTGAAGTTTTTCAATCACTGCTTTAAATCATCAGCAGTTTATTTTTTTTCTGAATCTGTGGAAATAGTGCAAGTTTCACTTTTTTAAAACTGATAAGTTTCACAAATTTCAACTGGCAAATCCCCGTCTTTGAGCCCTTTCCCAGTATTGATAAGTATGAATGCACATGCATTACACAAAATCTGGGTTGGCAGGATTATTCGTTCAATTCAAACCACTTGTTTTGATTAAATCAGCTTTTGGGTTTCAGTGCATGAATTATATGTAAATGATTTAAATTATGATTTGATTTCACTTCATTTAAGTATCCACTTCTGAGTTTAACATAGTATTAAAAGAATCAGTGTACCATACATCTACATGTACATTTACCTTTAATCTCTGCAAGTACATGTGCATTTCATTAGGATTCAAGACATTTTAGACATTATGCAATGAAATACAACCAACACAAGTAACTAAATATTCTTAATAAAGTGAGCTTTAGTCAAGCCCGAGTTATTACTCTATTAACATTTCAAAGCAAAAAAAAAAAAAAAACTGTTGTAATGGGTAGTTATATTACAACAGGTTTGTTGATCCTGCACTATAATGATAGAACAAGGTTAAAGTACCAGGCTACACTTATAGCATGCAAAATTAATACATGTAGTTTTGTCAAAATTTAGAGTCCGGATTAAAACCGGGTACTTCGCCCTTGGTACATGTACCTGAATCTCTGAAGGAACTGTTTCCTCTTTGGGTATGTACATGATGAAGGGTATACATGTATACTGGCTGCATTTTAACTGGGCTTAGACAATATCGGTATTTATGGTGGTTTACCAGGTTTGTGATTTTAATCAAATCACTTGATTTGATTTTGTAATTTAAATCCAGATTTGCTTAATTTTGTAACAATAGAAACTTTCGAATTTACTTGCTTTGCAATAAATAAATAAAGGTACATGGAGGTTACACCATTGGTAAAATCCCACAAATGGGAATGCCAAATAATCCTTAACTACATGTACCAGTATCTTACTTGAAAGAAAGTAAATAACATCCTTGGTCAACAAAAACCTGTAAAATATTTCTGCCAAGAATGCTATTATGTTTGAGAATATCAAAATTTGTTCGTTTTAATAAAGGATGGTTGGCCAACCATCATCTAAAAATTCATTGTTTTAAATACCATACATGTATCTGTTAATGGTTGCCAAGGTTTTTGAATGGTGAGTACAGATGTTGTACATGTACATGTACGTGTAGGAAAATGAATAAATGGGTCATGGTAAAAATAGCAAAAACACACAGACAGAAATTCATCAAATACAATATACATGTACATTGTAAAGTTAAGAAAGAGGAAAATGAAAGTGAGGTTTAGCGTAATATGGATCAGTTCAAAGTTCAATTTATTTATGAAAAGGGATTTTCTTATTGTGAGAATGCTAAAATCTCACTTCCACACCCGAAGCACAATAGTGGCTGCTGCGCAATGAAAGGATTTTCATCACTACAATTTCTAAATGTTAATTCTCCTGTGTTTCAAGATTTCCGTGATTACTGTGCCCATAATTATTAGATAGCAACCTGAGAATGGATTTTAGACTTCTACTGACAAAACTGCTGCGAAAGTGTGGTCACGAACCACTATCACGCACACAAATGCACACTGTGTCATGGACACAAGTTGAGATTGCAACTGCAGTAACTTCACTGCTCAATAAAGTTTTTTCCATGAATTCACAGTGCTCCATGTACATGTACATTGTTACTTCAAGGTAAATTTGCTGATTTAGTGAGCCATTGAAAACTGTTCATTTGGAAGGGCAAGTCACACATGTTCATCTACAGATGGACCCCATGTGTACGTTGTTCGCTTAGTCATAAGTACATGTAATTGATGCTGTGCAACGATACATGTACATGTAAATTACAAGATCTTCACTTTGACCGTCAAAATGGCCACAGCATTTTTCTTGATTTTTCCCAAACACAAAATAGGTCAGAGGATTGAAAGCTGCAGTAAATTTTACACTCCTACATGTGTTTAAGCCAACCTTGTAAAATTATGACAAAAAATCAATGGTGTAACTTTCCCTTTAAGCTGACTTGTCTTCCAATTTGCATAAAAATATGAACAAGTTTACATAAATTGAAAATCTGATTTCAATTTGTAAAAATCTAGGCCTAATTTTGGGCCAAGACTAGCGGAATGCCCATGTGAAGTCACTCACTGTTTCCATGCTCTATGCAACTGTACTGGTACATGCGACAAGAGTTGTCCTTTGGTAGAGTAAACCCAACCATACATGAACACAGCCATCCAAATAATTGTCCAATTTGTTGTTAAAAATTGGACTTCAAAAATTGTTTTGGCAGTAAACTTCCCTGTGGAGTAATTTTGCCTTGTAACAACATTCCTAAGATGTATCAAGTGGCAAACTTGCACATATTCACAACCCAAGGCCCATGCACATTTTTATAGGGCTGGGATTCGAGTAATTCACGATTAGAATATTCTACCTTCGATTCAATCAAATATCTGAATATTCAGTTTCACCAAACAGCAGATTGTTGATAAACAAATTATACACAAAATCAGTTGCAATAATGCACACAATTGTAAATTATAATCACGATAATACATGCGCCAGTAGCTTCTCACCTCTAGGAGTATCTTCAGCCAAGATTTAGTAAGATTTCACAGACAATTAATACAATGAACTTCTTACCCTGTTAAAAATTTTTATTCCTTTTAAATTTTATATTGAATAAGTTACTTTTTGAATCGTACAATATATTTTTCTGTCATGTTTCATTTAAATCTCCTTTTTTAAAAGCAAGTCTCCATAGTGCGATTTTTCTCTTAAAACAAAAGAAAACTCTCTCTTCCTTTTCATAAATTTTGCATTTGAATATTCAAATTTGAAAAATAATATTCAACTATTCACTAATCGATTGATTATTTAGATATTCGGCACCGCCCTAATTTTTTTGCAAGTTGTTTTAGTTGTACGAACTGCATGCAGTTGACCCAAGAGACATTTATTGCACACATGTGGGACTGTGGTCTAATTTGTACAGTAGCCGGTAGGATGCAATGACGTGGCAACTTGTGAATCAAGTTAAGAATCCAGAAATGTTGCAAGTTTTCTTGAATTAAACTGTTGAAGAATTCAAAGATGAAAAACCTTCATCAGATTTAAGACTAAGTAAGCTTAAGATCTAAAGATTTTGAGTAATTTTTTTTTGTCAAAGGAAAAAACACCCATAAATGAAAAAGGTCCATTCCACTTTTAATGAAATTTAGAGGGATTGAGGAAGAGATTACCCTAATGTATATGTACTTGTTGGTGGGCCTGTCTTATAAGAAACACTGGTGGATGGGCGGACCACAATTTGTTTTTGTTTTTTTTTTTTAAACATTGAGGAAAAGGTGATCTGGGAGAACTTTTACCCCACTCCTTCCAAAAGGTTGTAAAAGAAGCCACTGTATTTAGCCTAGTTCACTCTTTGAAAGGGCCACCATAAATTACCTAAAATTTAAAAAATTTCTGGACCCCATCGTACGACCTCCGCCACTCAGCCGCCGCCACTCAGCACCAGCACACTCTTGTGAAAAGTGGTCTGGATGCCTTGAATAGGGAAACCCCACTGGCCGGGGGGTTTTGTGCATAGCGTTTGTCCCCATTATATATTACTGCTGGCCTGAGCCAGTTGTAAATTTCATCTTGCAGTTTGTGGGGTTGACATGTGTGACCGCAAAGTCACTGGTTTTGAACATGCATGCTCAGGAGTACTGTTTATGCACAGCCAATAGGCATTATATTGCTATATGAAGTGAATTGCTTAAATGCAAGTAGGTATGCAAGTACATGTACATGTATGTTGTAAATTTCGTGTGGTTTTATCACCACTAGAAATGAGGGGGGGGTGGATAAATGTCATCAGAAACTCACTGGACCAGGGGGTCGGACGTTTTTAGAATGGGGGGGATATTTGTCATTGGAAATATACGTACACTAGACCCCTTTTTAGAATATGGGGGATCGGATGCTTGTCTTTGGAAATACACTCGCCCTTCCTTTTTCGAATAAGGGGGAATCGGATGTTTATCATTGAAAATACACTCGACACCTCTTTTTAGAATAAGAGGGGTCGGACGCTTGTCGTTGGAAATACGTTGGAAATTTTAGAATAAGGAGGGTCGGATTCTTATCATTGGAAATACACTCGACCCCACCTTTTTTAGAAGAGAGGGGTCCGATTCTTATCATTGGCAATACACTCGACCCCCATATTTAATACAAGGGGGGTCAGACTCTTATCATTGGATACACACTCGACCCCTCTTTTTCGAATAAGGGGGTCGGACGTTTGTCATTGGAAACACACTGGACACACCTTTTTAGAATAAGGGGGTTAGATTCTTATCATTGGAAATACACTTGATCCCCCTTTTTAGAATAAAGGGGGTCGGATTCTTATCATTGGAAATACACTCGATCCCCCTTTTTAGAATAAAGGGGGTCGGATTCTTATCATTGGAAATACACTCGACCCCCATATTTAATACAAGGGGGGTCAGACTCTTATCATTGGATACACACTCGACCCCTCTTTTTCGAATAAAGGGGTCGGACGTTTGTCATTGGGAACACACTGGACACGCCGTTTTAGAATAAGGGGGTCGGATTCTTATCATTGGAAATAAACTTGACCCCCTTTTTAGAATAAGGGGGTCGGATTCTTATCATTGGAAATAAACTTGACCCCCTTTTTAGAATAAAAGGGTCGGATTCTAATCATTGGATAAACACTCGACTCCTCTTTTTCGAATAAGGGGAGGGGCTCGTACGTTTGTCATTGGAAATACACTGGACATGCCTTTTTAGAATAAGGGGGTCGGATTCTTATCATTGGAAATACACTCGACCCCACCTTTTTTAGAAGAAAGGGGTCCGATTCTTATCATTGGCAATACACTCCACCCCCATATTTAATACAAGGGGGGTCAGACTCTTATCATTGGATACACACTCGACCCCTCTTTTTCGAATAAGGGGGTCGGACGTTTGTCATTGGGAACACACTGGACACGCCGTTTTAGAATAAGGGGGTTGGATTCTTATCATTGGAAATAAACTTGACCCCCTTTTTAGAATAAGGGGGTCGGATTCTTATCATTGTAAATAAACTTGACCCCCTTTTTAGAATAAGGGGGTCGGATTCTAATCATTGGAAATACACTGGACATGCCTTTTTAGAATAAGGGGGTCGGATTCTTATCATTGGAAATACACTCGACCCCACCTTTTTTTGAAGAGAGGGGTCCGATTCTTATCATTGGAAATACACTCGAGCTCCCTTTTTAGAATAAGGGGGGGTCGTATTCGTATCATTGGAAATACATTCGACCCCCCTTTTTAGAATAAGGTAGGTCAGACATTTTTATACACTGGACGTCCTTTTTTAGAATAAGAGAGTTGAAAGCTTTTCATTTAAAATAACACTCAACTGTCTTTTTCGAATAAGGCGTGTGAAACATTCAACAGTGGAGACAGAGACACACTTCTTTCCTTTTCAAAATAAACGATGGCTGACTTTTCTGACTGGAAATACGCACAACCCAGCCCCGTTTGACAAATGATCAGTTAGAACTTGTGACAATTTATGATAGTAAGCGACTTGATCATCATCAATGCGATGTCTTCGGCTCTGGGCCTGTTTTCTTTTCTTTATAAATACTTTAGCGTGACTGTCGAAATTATTTCTTGGTAACTTCTAAACCTCGACTTTACAAGAAGAAATCTTTGATATCTTTGGAACCTTTGTCTTCATTACCCAAAAACTTCACTACAAACTTAAAATACTGACAATCAAACCATTCGAATTCATAAATAGCTGATTTGCTGCAAATCAAATATTTGTTACATGTACAAATAAATCATCTACAAAGCTGTAAATTCAACATTGTCAGCTTTTTTAATCCTTTTGTGGTATTGTTAATTTTGACATTATGTCTTTGTTTTCTATCATCATCAACACCACGAAGTAGTACTCATCCATGGATGTGTGTGACGAATGTGATTAAATAAATTCTATCGATGTTAGCATTTAGAAATCCAAAGTTTAGGTCCCTTTGCTTTTTGGAAGGGATCGCATGAAGCGGTAGAAACATTTTACTGTAATACTTTGGCCCTCCAATCAGGCAATTTTGCTTTAGAATTCTGATTTTATTTCAATCAGATTTTCAAAGCGTCTATTTCTTTCAAATTAACACTTTAATCAATCGCCAGTTAACTCAACACGCGAGTATCCACCTCTTAATTTCTTAGCCTACTCATGGCATTTCCGTCGTTTTTGCATCCATTTCAGTGATTCAAAAATAATAACAGGTTTTGTAATTTACAATTTGCAACAAAAATAGTACATGTAATATTTTATTTGTTGGAATTCAGTGTGTATTGAAAGGCACTCAGACACAGTTTATGTGCAAGTGAAAGGTACTTGAAGCAATTCCTGCTGATGGTGGCCACTGGCAGCAATTCCCCCCCCCCATTTGCAAGAAGGGTGCAGTCCACTAATTCAAGCGAGAATTTCTGGCCAGCTCATTAGCATTAAGTGCCCCCACAGTATCTTTTGAAAAAGGAGATTGTATGGCCCCAAAATGGTGAGACTGTGTACATCTTCACCAAAATCAAATCCCTAGGTCTTTGGGCTTTCACCTGAGAGCAGAATGGCTACAAAATACTGTTGAAAAATAGTCCTAAGTGCCCAAGAAAGTTGAGGCAAGCAGGCTTTGGAAAAATTACTTTTTGGGGGGTAATTCTGTTTTGAAGGAATAACTCAAAATGTAATCGGTTAACCCACAGAAAATTGAAAAGAAAGTAAAAGATTATAGACCATACAATAATTTAACGTGTGTTTCAGATGCCTCAGGGATGTTGGTACCCATACTATTGGGCCCCGAACAATGCTGATTTTACACTGTTTTCAATGGGGCCTGAATTAGTGGACTACACCCTATATTTCAAAATGGCGGCGTCCATGCTATAATTAGGCAATTCAGTGACGTCACCACACCCAGATGCCCGCACATGCGCACGGGCACACACGCATACAGAAAGTGACATGAAACCCATGCAAAAACAAAAACATGACAAAGTTTTAACACCCATATCTAACGTTCCCTGCATCCATTCACCTTCAAATTTTAGGATGGCAGAAATCAATATCTTAACTATTGATCTCCGAAAAATTAGCACAAAAAACCAAATACTTCCTGACAAAAGTGAATAAATTCCTTGCGGAAGCACGCCCGGGGTGACCATTGGCCGTACAGTGGTCAAAGCATTGATCGTGCAAGCTCGCACGGCACGCGTGGTTGCACGTGATTCGGTTTGGATCGCATCGACATTCGGGTTTTCGTCACTGATCCACAGTGTGTTTTGATCACGAGTTTTTAAGAATATTGGCCTAGTAACAGCATCCGGAAATGTATTTGTTCCGGACGACGTTTGAGCAGTTTGTACGGAGAAATCGTTCCTGTTAAATCTAGACTGCGTACCACTCGACGGCACCCCAAATCTAATGATGGGAGTCTGGGTGTCCGACTAGTTCAAGAAATTCGTAAACGTGAATCATCACCGTCATATATTTCGAGCCCTTTTATCATGAACTCATCAAAATTAAGCATTAATATCATTCTTAAAGAGTGAAAAGTTTCCTAATCTTTTGGTTAGGTTTAGGTTTTTTAGTTAAAAAATGACATCATTGTACGAATTTATGCTCAGTAAAATCATCCCATGTGGTGGTTTCTATTTTGTGGCAAACTGTTCAGGTGTTCACGTCATGAAGTGAACAACGCGTTAACATGTCTTTGAGATTGTTCAATGGGGTTTGTCAAAATATGAGAAAAAAAATATATAATCAAAGAAAGCAAAGCCAATTTGTAAACTGTGAGATTTTGTTTGGACTTTCCGGTCGATCTACACCATTTTAAGGTGAATCATAAAAAAATACTTGTCACTCCAAAATGTTTGCTAGGCCTATCTCGAAAAATCTTCTCTTTAAAGTTACCCAATCATTTTGTAATTCTGAACAGAATTTAAGCAGAATGTAACTTTGTAAGTAACTTACTTCATGTTATTTATGGACACTTTCCTACTTTTAGGACTACTTTTGAAACATGCCTAGAACAATGGTGATCAGTATCATTGTAATACAGAATAACCTTTAAATTGTTGCCTGTTCTTTTCCTTTAATGATAAATAATTCAAATAATCTATACTTTTGTTTAATGGCAGACACTAGTGTCACAAGATGACCAGAGGAACAACCAGTCCATGAACTCAGCCAGGTGTCCAATGTTCTGGAAACTCCAACACCATATCAGGCTGGTGACCATCAACTTGAAGGAACCTCCTGCAGTGGCGGTGTGTACTAGAAATCTTGAATTGCTTGCCTTTTATACTTTCAACTTGCATTTTAAAATAATAAATCTATACTTGATATTTACAATGTGTTCTCTAAATTGGTAAACATTGTGAGTTAATATGAATGTAACCTTTGTTAGCATCTTGCTATATATTTGATCTTATTATTTAGTGTGTACTTTTTAGATATTGGGCCATATGCCAAGGAAGATGGTATCTACCGGAGGCACTTCGCTCAGGATGGACCAAGCTTTCCAGTGCAAACCCACATCAAGAATGGACTCGTCCTTGAACTGCACAGCTACATGTACATTCAAACAGAACTATCATCGAATTTGTTAGTATACTAAAACTAAAATCACAAGTGTGGTACGAGTCAAAGCTCTGTGATATGAAAGTGACAGTTGGCATTGCACTCAAAGGGCTGTAAAAATCCACAGAATTCCTTATTAAAGGTTATTAATATGCAAATCATTTTCACGTAATTGAACTTTCATCTGTAGTTTCTGAGGAGTACAGGGTATGTCAAATACATTAGGAGTATACCGTACAAGTACATGTGGCATTGATCCTCAAAAACCCCGATCACTGGTGCTGTACTGTTAAAAAAGGATGAATAATTATATATGCAAATTGATCAATTTTACGCATTGCATATATTGATTAATTAATTAGAAAATGGCTTTTTTTTTTAAATAAGACAAACAGTAATGTTTACCAACATACGTGCAACCACCACATCAGAAATCTAATCGAAGTCTACAGCTGCCAGGAGTCAGGACATCTCGTTTTATTGACATATATATCAATTAAATATGCGAATCAGGTACACATTTGTATTTTAAATGTGGAAATTTGTAGCAGTGATGTGCAAATTTGTAAGAATGCCAAGTTTGACAGAAATAAAATGTGTCCTTCCAAAGTAACAGAAGAAAAACCTTGTTTAAGTGAGCTTTTCCTGGTGCCATTCACTTTATAAAGAAAAACAAAGGATGACCTTTGACCTGGGAGTCAATATAAGACAGTTTTTGCGATATTCAACTCCTGAAGATATGCTGTTTCATATTTGCTATAAATTGACTGTGTAATGAAATAATTTGGAAATCATGTGAAATGCCTTCATAGGGCAGCTGGATTTAAAAATCATTTCTTTTGTTTCTGTTCGTAGCAGTGGTGGAGAGACGACGACAAGCCATGAATTAGAGTTTTAAGGATTATGAGACATCAGAAATATGGGATTGTTGGCACAATGAATGTCTAGGTAATCACATGAGAATTATGCATAGGTTATGTCATGTAATTTTGTTATTTTTTGTGTGTCAGTTTCAAGAAATGTTTTTACAAGATGTACCCTAACAGAGCTTAACCCTAACGGAGGCCAACCCTAGCGGAGCCTAACCCTAACAGAGGCTAACCCTAATGGAGGCTAACCGTAACAAAGGCTAACCCAATATACCCAGCAAGAAATGAGACCGAGGGGTACCCCCCAACATGCCCAATCCCTATACACATTCCAGACTATTGTTACTTAACACATCCCCCAAGATGTCTGAAAGGAATTCCCCAGATTCCTGCGAGACAATGACCAACACAAAGCAAGGGGGGTTCTCTCCGTCTCATACCTTGCTGCATATGTAACCCTAACTGCGGGGGTGTCAATCTTGGATGGTCAAGTACAGCCTGCGCACCAAGCCATGGATGATATGTAAATGTATGCACAGGTGACTGAAAGTCCTCGGATTAACACTCTCCTTGGTGATTTGTTCCACTCTTGTGTTGGAAGTGCCTTATTTTGGGCTCGTGTTTTCAACTCTTGGACTGGAGGCTGTCAACTGGAGTAATTTCTACCATCAAGCTTTCATGTCAATTCAAAGCACTGCGTGTATGAGTGTCTTTCGTGCACTTGGCCTCTGCCGCTCACAGTGTCTGGCCAAAGGGGGTAACCCTCGCTTATCCGTTGGAACAGCTAGTTGAAGCTACTCATGTGGGAAAGGGTGATTTTCAGATGCTGACAGCAGAATGAGTTCGCACTAGCAGTAAGTACAGGCACATGTACATGTATGTAGTAGTCTGTTTTGTGTACAGAGCTATTGCTGACTTCGAGCCTTTTCTCCCCATACTGTATACAGCCACTGGACAATTTTTTTTTTTCAAATTTTTCTCTGGAATAGAGGCTTGGATACATTCTCAAGCATCCAGTGCTGTTTCATGCCAGACAGTCAACAATTGGTGTACATGTACAGTACATTGCGATTGAAAGTTAACACCAAAATGGGAAAATTTTTTCACATTTTTTCTCTTCCCAGGGAATTCCTTTTCATTTCACAAATTGTGAAAAAGTGTGCCAAAAGTGGGAAAATGTTTTCACACCTTTTCACACAAGTGGGAAAATATTTTCACAGATTTTCCCCAAAGTGGGAAAAGATTTTCCCACAAATGGGAAAAAAATTGTCACAGATTTTCCCACAAGTGGGAAAAGATTTTCACAGATTTTCCCATAAGTGAGAAAAGATTTTCACAGATTTTCCCACAAGTGAGAACAGATTTTCGCACTTTTTCTCACAAGTGGGAAAAGATTTTCACAGATTTTCTGTGGTAGTGGGGAAATAATTTTTGCAAGCTTTCTTCATTAAGTAGTATTTTGTGCATGTACATGTAGACATCAGAAGTTTTTGTTCTCTGTGGTTTCAAACGTGCGCATCGCTGAATATAGAAAGTGGAGGAAAATCAGTCTAAGAGAAAAGTTCTTCAATTCTCAGGAAATTCAGATTACTTGAAGAAGACTGCATTAAAATGTCAACGCAGTATGTTTCTCGGTTTTGAGCAAAATACAATGCGACAAGCGAAATCAAAGCTGGCTATTGTGGCGTTTAAATTAACCCCTTGGAAGTTGGATGGATGCTCAACATGTGCACCGCATATGTGCACATGTACATGTATCCACCTGTTGTCATGTACATGTATGTGAAATACATTTACATGTATTGGCAGATGTATGTACCGTGATTTCGGAATAAATGCCTTGTATCCGGTTATCTCGAAGTTCTCGTGAAGCTGACAAAGACCAAATCTCTTCAAAAACCGCCACAAGACCTCGTGCATGCCGCACCACATCGCGAAGCACACACTGCATCTACACCTATCCCGACATCCTGACTGCTACTACATGCCCATTCATGGACAGTCCAATCGCTGACTTTTTCCAATAACCATGTGACCACAGAAAGTAACATGTCATCAGAAACCCAAGTGAAAACAGACCCGATATGTCACACCGAACACAATCGGCGAAAAGACGAGATTTGCTACATGAAGATACACGTACAATTTAAGCAGTTGATTTTATTTGTCGATCGAAAGAAATCTTTCAGTAACAAAATACTACATGTAGTGTCTCATTGTTGATTTTTTGGTGCGCCAAACTAAACCACGAGAATAAATAAAAAGAGGGCAAATAACCCATGTTGCTGCAACAGAGCGAGTTAAGTTTGTTGTAATACATACAAATAGTGATGTACATTTCATGTGCTTCTTGACTTCATGACTTGGGGACTCCTGTTCAATCACTCAACATCCAGAAAACTTTAAAACATTTATTCATTCTCTGACATTGACCAGTGTTTATTCATGGTAATCAAAGAAAACAACTGCGCCGTGCGGGCACGGCTCGCCGTGGTGAGCACATCCCCGCGATCGCGCTGCATGGACCGGACAGCTCCGCCAAGGAAATCGCTACCAGACTACAACAGCCCATTCCATGTGGTGAGCTGGCCCGACCGGACGGCCCCAAGCACAGCGCAGCCTGCGTAAAGGACTCTTCACTGCATAACAGTTGTGCGCATGTGGCAAGTGTTGAGCATTTTCGCTGCACAATGTTTCTCGTTTGTTTCACGCCGTGTTCGCAATAGATTCGCACTGTTTTCGCACAATTTTTGCACCGTTTTCGCACGTTGTTACCCCTTACGCATCCAATTCGCTGCAAATTCACAGGGGGAAAAGTTATGGTCAAAATGCAAAATGCGAATTCCTTTCACTTTTTTTCCCATTCCTTTTCACAGCGTTAACTTTCAAAGGCAACGTACTGTATACATAAAGGGTGCAGTCCACTATTTCTGACCAGCTCATTAGCATTAAAAGTGCCCCCCCAGTATCTTTTGAAAAAGGAGATTGTATGGGTCTTTGAGCTTTCATATGAGAGCAGAATGGCTACAAAATACTGTTGAAAAATAGTCTTAAGTGCCTGAGAAAGTTGAGGGTTGTCACTTGAAAAATGGCTTCAAGCAGACTTTGGAAAAATCACTTTTTGGGGGGTAATTTTGTCTTGAGGGAATAAATCAAAATGTAATCGGTTAACCCACGAAAAATTGAAAAGAAAGTAAAAGATTATAGACCATGCAATAATTTAACATGTATTTCAGATGCCTCAGGGATGTTGGTACCCATACTATTGGGCCCCGAACAATGCTGATTTTACACTGTTTTCAATGGGCCTGAGTTAGTGGACTACACCCAGAAGTGCATTGTGCATTCTGGGGTCACTTCTTACCAGAGAGAAAGGACACAGACAGTATGGTATGACCTGACCTTAGTAGTTAATACACTGAAGCATAGTGACCACAAACCACTGTCATAAACTGTTCTCAGCATAATGTGGGAGGTGTGGCTACAGAAAACCATCACACAATTCCATTGGACAGTTGGCCCTCCCTCTAATGTGTATCAGCCATGATCCACAGGGACATTAGAAACCCGTAAGCACTGCATTTAAAGCAAAAGTTAAAGAAAAGGATCCTGACCACTTTTCTCCAGAGTGTGCTGGTAATATGATATAAAATATATTGGGTCCCTCCTCTCCCCTGTCTGAAAATTTAGTGGCTCTGAATACACCCTTAGCAAAGAAAGTGTCTGTAAGTTGATTGACCTGTAACAGGAGTTCCCACAACTGGCTTCTTGTTATACACTGTGAAGCAAAACTTGCACACAGAGCAAACAAGTGCCTTATTGTGTTTGCCCAACAGGGTCCAGTGGGTGGCACACCTTAAATAATTAGCTGTCTTGAGCAGAGTTGCAACTGACCACTAACTACATGTAACAAAGGTTAACAATATCCAAGTATATGTACATGTCTAACTAAATGGAGCCATGTTCAACAGCACCACAGTATAAAATGGAGGGAGGGCGAGCAGAGGATAATCATAATGGGTGTAAGAATAGATCAGTGAAGCAGTCTTTTGAGGAGCTGGTATTCACAAGTCCCACAAAACTGAAACCCAGCAATTACATTTACACATATGCAAACCTAGACCCATCAAAATATCAGATTTGTTGAAGTAAAACTTGGAGCTACATGTACATGTACATGGGGGCTAGAAAAGCCAATGAGGCATTACATAACATGAAAAAAAAATGACTCACGATGTTTTCCCGCTGCCTGTTGGCCCAAGAATAGCATTCATTCCTGGTCCAAATATACCACTGCAGGAAAAAGAACACAAATTGCATTCAGGAAAACAAAGAAAGCGAACCTCATACCATTGTGGGTGAAAAA